GATCAAGAAGAATACAATATGGATGTTGTGGCAAATAGCTTTAATGCATTTTTTGTAAATGTTGGACCTGATCTGGCAGGAAAAATCCCTGATCCTGGGACATCTGAAATAAATCTAGATAAGTTAATAAATAAAAATCCTTACTCCATGTTCCTCCAAGCAGTGGATGAAAGGGAAATTATATATATTGTCATGAATTGCAAGAACAAAAAGTCTTTGGATTGTAATGATATTGATATGAGTAAAATAAAAAAGGTCATTGAGGAGTTTTCTAAACCCCTCAATGACGGGCGTAGTCCTTAACTGGGTCAAGGGTTACTTAAGTAACAGGCAACAGTTTGTGAAGCTGGGTGACAGTTGTGGCGTCCCCCAGAGGTTAGTGATGGGCCCCAAATTTTTCATTATGTATATCAATGATATAAGCAACATATCTAAGATATTGAAGCTTATTTTGTTTGCATTACATATAATATATATATAATATATATTAGTAAGAAATTGTATGATGGTATGAACTAGTATTTAAATTATGTGCATTAATATAGGAAATAATTATTATATAAATTATGTTTTCATATATATGAGGAAGCTATTATTCTAGCAAGCATTGATTTATGGGGGGGTTCAATAAGTGTTGACTTCTTCCCACTCCCTTTTGGATGTGGTTGACATTGCATTGCATCATGTTTTCTGTTAGGTGTAAGTTCACTGTTTTCACTGAGACCATTGTGCTTTCTTTTTTTTATGTTTGTTTTTTTTTCTTTCACTCATTCGAAATAAAATGATCAAATCAAATCAGTGGGATGTTGCTGAGCATGAGCCATTGTGCTTCCTGATCTTGGTCAACTAGTTTAATTTACCAATCCTGACATCACTCTAAAAAAACATTGGCTAAAACTTGTTCATCTTTGGGGAAGTTAATGTTATGAATGGGATGATATCTAATGACAACACAGTTGAAGAACACTCCTTGCTTTTTTGCAGAGAGAAGTAAGCTGCAAAGCGTGCGTATACACTTTATATGCTTCAGATTTAGCATGCAGACATGAAAGTGGCCTGATCTTCTCGATTAACACTTGGAAAGAGAGCAAGTCCAAAATCAAAAAAGCGTTTTCCTAAGCGTCGGAGCTATTCCTTAAATGTAGATTGACACTTACATGTATGTTACACTCACATGTTGATGGTGTGAGTCCTCTCCGAACACAAACGCAAACTTGTCTGGCAGTGTTGCCTTTTTTCTTAGGGGGTTTACCTGCAGTTAAAAAACCCGCTTATACCTGCAAACCTTGGTTTCAGAGGCTGAAAAATCTCTGGAGGAGCTGTCACTGTCTTCCACCATGTTTGACACATAACAAAACCACGTTACTTGTCTCGCATGTGTTTGGGAGACTGTTGCTGTCTGATGCTGCACAGAACCTAACGTGAGTCAAATTAGTGACTCAAAAAAAGTAATACCAACCGTCTGGCATTTCTACCAGGATCACCGTTTATCTCTAGTGGGGACTGACACACAAAATGGGCAGCTGAAATATTTGCTCATATTTGAGCAGTGCTCAGTCCAAGGTGCAAAAGACATTAGGATTGTCCTGAAAAAAAAGCTGAAGGGGACAATTATGTAATTACTTCATTCTCACTTCATTACTGGAATATCAGAAACACCGTACAGTGCAGTGTCTATAATGTGATTAAATAAGAGGCTTTCAAACCTGAGTGCTGGAACAAATACTGGATAGTGCAAGTTACTGTGTACAGTATGCACAGTGCCTGCTTAGACTTGAGCTTTGTCAGCAAACAGAAAGTACGCTATTGCACAACCTCTGTACTGCGCTGGTTTTGTAATGACTTCACCAGAGAAGCAGCAGTATACAGATTGGTCACAGCCTTGGATGAGGCCTTTAACATCTGTGCCGTCTACAAATGAAAGGAGTTTCACAGATGGATGAGGTGAAAATAGAGGTGCAGTTATTTGGGCATGAATGTGGGCTTATCAAACCTGCAGTAAAACACTTCCAGGTTGTAATCCAGTTGATGGTCCTTCACAGTTTGGGGGGATGGTTAACTGTAGCTGATGACGTCCCTCAGGTCTTTCCACATGGGATACAGGGTTGTTGCAGTGTTTTGTTTTTTCAAGTGTAGCTTCTTTGAGCAAGGGGAGACCTGAGATGGTCGTAACAAAGTAAAAGTTGTAACTGGTGTCACATCAGCAGGAGCCTCATGCTGAGGTGCAGCACGTGCTGTAGTGCTGAGTCTCCCACCAACAAGCTGTTGAACCGAGTCTCGTGGACTCATGGCTGTCGATGGGGGACATGAGCACTTCAGAAGTGCTGTCCCCCATCGACAAGCAACCGTCGGTCGACCGAAGGTGACGTCAACAAGTCACGAGACTGGCCCTTGGAATTTTGGTAATTATTTCGTCATGATGACGACACGGACTTCACTGATGTGAGGTTGTATATAGGACCTCAAACTGGTTATTTGGTTGTAGCTGGAGAGCGCAGCTACCGGCATATGGATGGTTGGAAGTCCACCGGGGGCACCCGGTCCTCCTCCACCGGCCTTAGGGCCCTGGGGACCGGTGGAGAATGAAGGGAACACCTGCCTAGCCAGCCAGATCAGCCAAATCACCCCTTAGATAGAAGGGGTGACGGGTTAACAAGGCAAACTCTTTCAAATAACTTTTATGAACTGAAAACAGAATGACAAGTCAAAGGTCTGACACATCGCTCTGGCCTCTATCTGGATTACTAGGTAGGTCACCCTGTATGTCAATCACATGGTAACCACGCCCTAAAACCACTCTGCTTTGCATCTCATGCTTTGCATGTCGTTGGTGGAAAGTTGGTTTCGACTTCGTTAGTTCTCTATTGTGTTATAACGACAGTCGTTGGAGTCACTTGCCACTTGTGAACAGTTGTTATTCTTTGAGGCTAGATTGTTGAATCTCCTGGGAAGGGATGAAAGGGCAGCATTGTAAATTGGAGATAGGTGGTGTCTGAGACCTCCTCCCCTGTTGAGCTTCTGGATTTGTGCCTGAACACCACATATTTCCAGTTTAATGGCAGAACAATGGCAGTTGTTCACTCTCAGTTAATCCAAAGCAGGTCGATGCTGTTGAGGCTGTTTGCAGGCTGCTGGTAGCAGGCCGGCGAGAGAGCTGGTTTCTCAGGTTGCAGAGCTGACCTGGGCTGGGGCCTTGTTGCCCTTTGAAGAGCCGAGAGGAGAGAACAGGAACTGCTCTCCAGAGCAAGCCAAGAAGAGAAGAGAGAGAGAAGAGGGCCAGAGATCTGGTTTTGTTTGGTGACACCCTTGGGGGTCACATGTCACACGCTGACCCACACTGGCTGGCCGGTAAGGTCCGTGGGGGGAAGGGTCATCCCCAGGTGTGAATGGTGAGGAACTGTGAAGTGTGAGTTCCTTTGTCCAGTGGAGCAAAGAAACATTTGGTTTCTTGAATGATGAGTCCCAACACCAGAGACGCCGCAACGGGGCAGGCAACCCAGGCAATTGCCTAGGGCCCCGAGCTGAAGGGGGCCCCGAGGGACGGCTGACATCGATGACAAAATAATGGAACTGCTTTTGACGCAGCAACGACAACGCAACAGAAATGAAATAAGTTAGTCCTTTGGTGCCAATGCCAATGATATTTTCTCCCAGAATAAAGCATTTGTTGTTAAAACTGATACCAGCATCAATTCTGCTGTCATTTTAGTCTGTCTAAACTGGTGCTAATTTGTATTTGGAATTATGTTTTTTAAATGTGAGCTGCTTGACAACTGAATTTCCCTTCCAGGATAAATAAAGTATATCCTATCCTATCCTATCCTATCCTATCCTATCCTATCCTATATATCCATACATATTCTGCTATAGCCTAAATGTTACATTAAATAAAATGTTAACATGAAGCATTAAAGTTGTTACTGCAAATGGATGTTCATTAATTATTCCATACAGATCTCAAATGTTGTGTTTGTGTGTCATGCAGTTCTTTTCTTTACTTTACGCAAGCTAACCAAATACATTGTGCTCTTTTCTTTTTTCTTCCTCAAGGTGCTTCGTTGAAGTTTTTTGGCCCACAACAACAACAACAACAACAACAGCAGCAGCAGCAGCAGCAGCAACAAAGTAGGAACTCATTTAGTTTCCTTTATAAAGTTAAGAAGTTAAGAGTGCCAGGAGAGGCTCACAGGACTGGCACTGATTTCAATAGAAAGAGATGTTCGGAGGTCCTTAGATATGGAAGACATAGTGTCTGCATTTGCAGAAGCCAGTTTTAAGAAAAAAGGGCACTACTATTGGACTGTGGATATAGGACCAAGGTGTCACAGCAAGTTTTAAGTTCTTCCTTTCCACTTCAATTCCTTGTTTGTTTGTTTTTTTGCTTGGTTGCGTTTTTATCATTCTGAAAATTTTGCACATTTCAGTTATGTTTGTTTTTCTGTTATTTATATATTGTATGTAAAGTTTGCATTCAGATAGTTATGTTATTTATTATTTATTTTATATGTTAATTGTTTAATAAAAGATTTCTTTACTGATCCGTAGTCCTGGACTTCATTCATCATGATTCTGGGGGGGCCCGTGGTCCTTCTTGCCTAGGGCCCCCAGGGGTCTAGAAACGCCCCTGCCTAAAACATTTGCATGTTACTGCACTGTGGAAAGGATGGTCACACCAAATACTGATTTTATCTTGCTTTTTGCAGGTTTACTGCACCCTGTATGAAGGCAACTGATAACTAAAAACTATAAATGGCATTGTTGTTGAAAGCTTTCTCATTTTACTTTTAACGCCTACAATTTTGTACACTACTGTAGGTGTATCTGCTTACAACTACATTATAGTGTGTAATAAACCATTTATTAAATACGTGTATAATGCTTAGGTATGCTAAATACCTAAGCGGAAAGAAAAGTGGAATTAGGGAACTGATCATAACATTTCCGACAGCATTTGAAGGCATCATATTTCCTTCTTTTTCTTTCCTCCCCTTCCTGTAGCTCGTCAGAGCGAAGTGAGCGGGAAAAGACTCAAGCAGCACCAAGGCGTGGACTCTCTCGGTAAGAAATGGCTCCCAAAACCAAAAAAGCGCTTGTAAGGGAAACACTGGGGCACCTGAAGAAGGCTCAGTTTGAAGCGTTTGTTGAGGTGCTTCTGGATCGCAGAGAGGAGCCGCGTGTCAAATGCAGTGATGTCGAGGGTCAGGGCTATTTACAAGTCACAAACGTCCTGGTTTCCACATTTACTGAGCGCAAAGCTCCTCAGGTGGTTGCGGACATACTTCGGGAGATCGGTTGCGAAGAAGAGGCAGACAAACTCGGTAAACATCTTCCGTTTACAGTTTTTGGCGTAAAGCAGAGCAGAGCAGAAACGAGTGGTATTTTTTTGGCATTGTGTGTTAACGAAAGCGGAAATTGAAATGAAAAACTTTCACTTACGAGCAAAGGCCACGTAGGCCTGTGTAGGGACACTTCCTTGATCTGCAATCAGTTGCCAGTCGTATATTTTCTTTATTGTACAGTGCTGTTAATCTAACTGGGGCAATATCACTCTAAGACAAAGATAAAACTGTCCTTATTTAAGTTGTTGAATAGGGGGGAAAAAAGATGCAAAGCCTGTGCATAGGTAGGCTACATCCTTAAGGCTCATTTCCGTATTAATACATTTGTATGTAACATTCATAAAACTGTAATACAATGTAGAGAGAAAATAAAAATCAGGGTCTAGCTGCAAAAATAACTTAATCATCATCAACAGGTAGGCTAGGTCACCTAGTAATGATAATGGTAAAACTATATGACAGCCCGTCGTTTATAGTGTCATTTCCCCCACATTTACCATGTAATTCATCTGAATTTACGATGTAGTCTCAACCTAATTTTGTCGTATGAATCAGTGATTACCAGTTATTAATGGTACTACAGCCTGGAATGTGGGTGCAGCTTGCTTTCACTTGTTCTGGGTTGCTTCCCACACTTTTGACTCAGTTGAAATATTATTATATATATATTATAGTTATTGTGTTCCAGGCTAACCCTTTATCTCATATTTCAATTCCACCATATATTATTTTTGTCAGAACCTAACTGTCTTCCTATTTTTTGTGCAGTTGCAGAGACAAGTGGACAGTCCTCAAACCCTGGTTCCAGTGACAGTGAGTTCTTTTCTCCTCTTTTTAACATGAGACATTATAGACTATCTGTTGTAGGCACCTGCAGTTGCATAATTTAACATTAAGTTTTATCCTTCTCCAAAGCGTTCTTTGGACTGTACTCTTGGAGCTGTCATACAGTGTTTATAGCATTAAAATGTACATGTAAGGTAACAACTTGAGACGTGACCACAGAAGGTCATTTGGCTTGATAGACATTTAGACAAGTACAGTCAGACATATCTACAATAGATTATCTATTTAAAGTAAAAGAATAGAATAGAGTAGAATATAAATGTATTTTCCACCAGAGCAGAAAAGTGTCTTTAATGCACCAAAACATAAAAGCAGCATGAGAAGGTTTAACATATAGATCAGAGGTGGTAACGAAACATAAAGGCCTTGAAAACTCTTAAGAAGCATTGATTTCTTTAAAAAGGCCATTAAAGATATTAAAAAGTATAAAATTTCATTTACAAAGGTTGTAAATACTGTAGGTAGTAATGCTATTTATAAAGGTTTTTGTATTGGATTTTAGCAACAACTGTGGAAAATCTCTGACATTATGTAACATTCATACGTGGACCTTATAGATCTTACTTTTTTAGTTGGTTAATCCTTCTGTCCATTTTACGCTGCTTATCCTGGTCATGTTTAGTGATTAGTTACTGATAATAATAGGAATTATGGTTAAATACATAAAACATTAAAGCTGAAAATAAAATACAGTGGAGACATATTGCAAGTTGGCAGTTCAGTTTTTAAAATTCTGTTTGCACTTTAACCACAATTAACTTTCTATATTCTCCCAAGACCATGAAAAACATTTTTAATTTTCCCTTAAATTTGTTTCAGCTGCAGGACCCTCACCTGGAGCAACTGGTGGAAATACAATGGCAGAAGGTGGATGCACAGGTAGTATGAAGTCTTCTCAGTCAGTGTCTTCTACTCTGGGTCACTTTGTCTAAAAACACAGGATATGGCTATAAAGCCCAGTTCCCTTCATGGTTGGACATTCACAGCAGGGTTAACTTGATCAAGAGTAATAAATCAAACCGTGTCTGCTGAGAAACGCTTCATGGTTTTATAGAATTTATTGAATAGTTTGATATTTTGGGAAAATATACCTTTTCTTACCTAGAGTTTGGTGGGAATGTTGATACAACTCTCATGTCTGTGTGTTGAGAACAGAGTTTGAGCCAGGAGATCGTTAGCTTAGCATATACACTGGAAACAAAGGGAAGCAGCTAGCCATCCTGGATCCGTCCAAAGTTAGAAAATCTGCCTATCAGCACCTCTGACGCTCAGTAATTAACACATTATATCTTGTCTAACTGTGGATGGTCTAGCTGTTCACCCCTGCTTCCAGTTTTTATGCTAAGCTAACTGTATCCTAGCTTCATATTTAGCATTCAGACATGAGAGTGACATCAGTCTTCTCATGTAACTGTTGGCAAGAAAGCAGAAAGTGTCATTCCTAAAATGTCATCATAAAAACTAGGATGTGAGAGCTTTACAAAATGTCATTTGGAGAATATTTCATCTGTATAAACTGTAGACCTTAATCTTTAAGATGTAGTTTAATTACATAATTAGAAATCTACTGTTAGAAATATGTGACAGTCATCTTTACTTTGAGTATGGAAAGTGGATTTTGTGAAGAAACCTTTCTTCAAAAGAAATGTATTAAGTTGGCTTTAACTTCATGTTCAAATCCAGTCAGTCATTCTCTTCTCCTCTTTCCTCAGATGAGCACTTCGTGGACAAACATAAACTTGAGCTGATCAGGAGAGTGACCAACATTGCATCGATTTTGGATGAGCTCTTGGTCAAAAAAGTCATTGACGATGAAAAATGGGAAGAAATTAGGAAAATGTCCACCCCTAATGCTAAAATGAGGGAGGTCTATACTTGCATGAGAGCTGGTGACGAATGCAAAAATATCTTCTTTGAAATCCTTAAAAGACATGAGAAATTTCTCATTGAAGACCTCCAGAAAAAGGAGTAAATGTTATGGTGAAATCCATCTTTAGACCAAACATGAATTGTCTTCCTGAACACAAAATATTTTTATACGTTATCAGTGATGAACTACTAATGTTAATGCTATGTCTCTGTGGAGGTTTTCTACTTGGGGTTTTTAACAACTGTTGCCCTTAATTTTACAGCTAAACCTGGTGAAACTTGTATGGAGTTCAGTGTGTTCCCCGTCCTGATGAGTGAGGCTCATTTAAATGCTTCATTTTGACCCAAACACATCATGAGATTTCCTGTCAGGTTTAAAAAAAAACATCCAGAAAATGTTGTAATCATGTAAGAAATTAATTAAGGATCTCAACATCCAATGTTTAATGTGGAACAGGATTTTTTAAGAAAACAGAATTTGCATAATTGTTATCCTTAATGTTTGCATGTAAATCACGTTTCAAACTTCCAATCATGTCAAATATGATGAAGTTTTTAAATATTATTTTATCTTAGATTATGTCCAATAAGAATTTGTTGGTGGTGCTTCATTCAAAATGTTTTCTAATTAGAAATTCATAATAAAATCTTATGATCTCTGTTTGTTCTGTTTGTTCATTTTGAGTGAATGGAGTGTCTTAAACATAGTATATGAAATATATAATGATGTAATGGAGTTTAGAATTCGTGTTTTTCCCATGAGGTTTTTAAAAATGCTCATTGATCTTAAAATGTATTTGTGTCTGTAATTGTTCAGAGGGATACAAGTCTTTACTGAGATGGATGTTGCCAGTAGGGAAATATTAAGGTTTGGGAAGTTCTACTTAGTTTGTGAAAAAGTTGTGTAAAGACTTTTGTGGCTCCAGCAGAAACCTGATAAACTGCCTCAGTAAGTTGTTGCAAAGAAGAAAATCCAGATGTGTGGAGTTTTGTTAACCAGTGGTTCATATAAGTACTATTATACCTACACTATAAATCATTTTCAATAGCTTCATTGCCATGTGGCTCACTGGTTCACAATCTATTCTAATGTTTAATAAGGTGGCCCAAAGCTGACAGACCCCTTTATGATTTATACTAGTACGCTGGCTATTTATTAATAACGTTATTTTCATAAATGATGTCTGTTATGTCATGTCACCCAGAGGTTCACAGTTTATTTAAAGAAGTGTAACTTGTGCAAATCTGGATTTACAAATGAAACTTTTTAATGGAGACTTTAGCCTGTCTGGAACAATCTAGTCCAGATTTGAGTCTACAGTGACCGGGTCTAAAGGCAAAACGGAGAATCACATTGGTTATCATTGGGATTGGGCCTGAGTCTTTGTGCAACCGCCTGAATCAGAAATTGTGTCATTTGAGGAATAAAGAGGCAGGACAGACTGTAAACGGATCCACTACCTCAGACACGAGGACTCGCTTTGACCAAACATCTGCTTCATGTAGCAGGATTAAAAATTTATATTTTCAAACCTTCACACAAACTGAAACAGACTGACCCACAAGAGGAGAGAGAGAGAGAGAGAGAGAGACACAACCGGTTAGTTGTATTTCCATCATCCGTCAGCATGAACACCAGCAGTACACTGAATCACCATGAAGCTTGTTAAAATACAGCGAAGAATGATTTTCCGTTTTAAAAAAGATGAGCATAAGTTGAGTTCAGCTTTTACAACTGAAGCTATAGGTTGTTTTTAAAACTTTAGTAAGGTATTACATTTGATTTTGTTAGTTTTATGGCTCTAAACGAAACTGGGCGTAAAAGAGAAATAAAAGTTCATTTTAACCTCGGAGGCAAAAGTTGGACAAGTTGGACAACTCATTCGCAACACACATTCAAAGCCGAGGATATAATGTCATGCGTGTTTGTCTCACCCTCATATTTCCTCCCACCTCCTGAACGTTCAAAGCTTTTCATTTATTATAAGAAATGTTGGAGACAAATAATCAGGCTGCAGTATGATTTTGCCACACACACACACACACGCACGCACGCACACACACACACACACACACACACACTATCTACGACACTACCACACAACGACACACACACACACACAACACCCATCACACTACACCACACATTACACACAAGATACATAGACCAGTTTTCCTTCCCATTCATTTCTTAAAATATATACCTGGAACCTGTAACACATCTGTTGTGGCAGCCTATACATGTTAGAAGTCACGTGCTTTAATTAAATAGACATCTGTGCTACTTTTATTTTTAATGAATAAGTCAGGCAGTTAGAAAAAGAACCTGAAACTACTTTGATAATAATTTATCAAGTAATGTATCATTTATAAAGAAAAAAAATCATTGTTTTCTTTTCAGTTATAATGGTTTACTACTGGACTGAACATTTGGATCATCAAAGAAAGAAAACATTTTATCATTTACGGTAAATATATATGTGACATCAGAGGTGTGTATAAAGTCTTAACTTTCCCTATTTTTTATTTATTCCACAGCTGCTTGATCCTCAGCAGCAGCAACTGATGTAAATACCATGGCGGAAGGTAGGTGCTGAGTTCAGGCTGTTTGGCATCAAAAGTTTGCCCCACTTTTTTATGAAATACATCCTGATGTATATTATCTCCAAACAAACCACCCTGGCTCATGTTTCTGTCCCTTTTTCCTCAGAGCACTTTGTGGATAAACATCGAGCGGAGCTGATCCAGAGCGTCACCAACATTACACCAGTTTTGGATGGACTCCTCTCATGTGATGTCATCAATAAAGAAAGTTATGATGAAATCATGTCTATCCCCGGCCCTGAGGGGAAGATGAGAGCGCTCTTAAGTGGGCCTTTGAAATCCAGTGGAGATCGAGGAGAAAAGATTTTCTTCAACATCCTTGAAGCACATGAGCCACGTCTAATGGCTGACCTGAAGAGGGAGGGGCATGAGAACATCAAGTATAAAGTGCCAGTGAGTAAATGCTTAGTTATATAAGTTATTCAAATACAAGTGTAGATGGTGTAGGTGGCGTCATGTGGCGTTTTGATGATGATGGTCTAACTGGTGAGTGGAGGCACCCAGTGACCTTTTGTTGCCTTGTGAAGTACAGCTTTTATTCAACAAGATGAAGGTTTAAAATCAACATTACTGATAAATGATTATAAATCAAATCAAATTGCGTCATGCTGCCACCTATTTCTACAGTAGATTCATCTAGAACATCTCATGTAAGATTCAGTTTTTCAGCTTACGACTTAGAGGTAAGACAAAGAAGACAAAGAGTGTCACATTACATAAACTACATGTGTTTCATAAATGTCAAATTAATTCCTTTTATGATTCATAGTAGAAAAGTAAATCTGCTTTATTTATCAGTTTTATCAGTATTTGCTCTTTTTCTCAGATTTTCATGATGAGTTGATTTTAATGTCATTTTGCAATGAATTCTTTGTATTATATTTTTTGGAAAAGGCAACTGGGCCTCAATTATTGAGGGGGAGCAAAACATTAGGTAAAGATTACATAATATAGTACAGTGCAATGTGGTACAATACCACGTACTTTAACTTCAAACATTGAGTTGTATCAATACCTCTCTGATGCGCTCAATATTTTAATTTGACAGCACTATTAATTTATGTGTTTTGACAGAATTTGAACATTATAATCTTTACAAAAGCAGAATTTGTTGCAGAGCTTTTGGATTGGATTCTTTTAGGATTCATGGGTGTTACTGATATGTTGTTTTATGATTCAGAAATGAGCAAATGTTTGTGTAATGTTATAATTAATACTTGATATTATGTTTTATTCACAAGAAACTAAATGTGACTGGAGTTGTTAAAGTTTTTACTCAGATTTTGAAAGAGGTTTTTATTTTCTTTCTCCTCAGGGAAACATCTGACGTCACTACTCCAGAAAGTGAGTAATGTCACATCAGATGCACTTTACACAACACAGCTTTCATTTAACAGTTACAGGTTGAAAGTTATCCTCCTCATGGCTGCTATAAATAACACACATGACTAGTTTACATTGATGGAAAGAAATTAATGTTTTATAACTAAAGTGGAAATATTACATAATTGTCTCCTGATCACTTTGGATCCATCAGGATTTAACCATGACATCAGTTAAGGAGAAACTTCTGGAAACACTGGGAGATTTAAGTTATGGAGAGCTCAACGAATTCAAGTTGGTCCTGCAGCGCCCAGAAACAACGAGCGGCCAACCAAGAATCCTAAAACGTCAAATGACACAAAGAGTTGACTTGGTGGAGCT